TTACCGCCATACATTTGTGAACGCTGTATAATGCTTTACACTTGGTAATCGTATTAGGTGTTTTGGTTGTGTAATTGACTGTGTACAAAGGTTCTGTTAATATAGAATTCTGACACTTGAGGGTAGCTTTGTAGTGTTAGTTATTATATTAAGCCCATATACCTTATTCTACCTTCCGGACATCCCATTTTATTCATTCTACTCGAGCCATACTTTGACCTTGTTATTTATTCGCTTATCAATCATACCCACAAACAATTTATTACCATTTTTAACGATATTTTGAATCATTAATACGAACGAGTTATTTTATCGTCTAGACAGTCACAGAATTATTAGATGTTAAATTTTTGTACGCTCATTAATTTGCTTATATTCGCATGTTAACGTTTCCATTTTTGTCCGCGCCTTTTCGATATTCGTATATTCTTTTGCATAAGTATGACATTTTCATATAATACACTCACCCCTCATGTGACACTGTACGTTATCGAGTGTTGTACAATTTTTTTGCTACTTACAGTCAACGTTAACTACGCATCACTTCACTGTTATTTTCGAAAACAGACATTTTTTAAATGTACTATTTTCTACAGGGGGGCTATGTAGTGTCAGTTACTATGCCAAGCCCATATGCCTTATTCTAGCTTCCGGACATCCCATTTTATTCATTCTGCTCGAGCCATACTTTGACCTTGTTATTTATTCGCTTATCAATCTAGACTGTTTTTATATGAGCGCATATGTGTGTGCCCTTCTTATCCCATTAATCACATATCTGTAGCTTTATTTTGTCTGACTATAAATATTGAGTAACGCTTGACAAAGATGAAGTTGGCTTCCCAGCCATCTTCCCTGCGTTTCATTTTGCTCTACTCTGTTTCCTCCGCTTCATATACAAAGTATATGTATTCACAAATCAATTCTCGTTATTCTACTTATTTAATTCCGTTATTGACTAACGCGATTCAAGTTGACGATGATATACGAGAATAGGCGATAGCAAACATCCATACGATCTAAATAGGAGTCAGATTCACGGGCCACTAAAATGTTGAGCCCTTCGTCTGATCAGAATGACGGCAAATAAAAGGGCCTCCACTAAAGCTTTACATATGCTATTGGATGAACATGCACTGCTGTTTTCAAGTTTTTTAGGGAGCTAACCACTTGAAATTTTATGTGAAAAAAAACGATAAGACCAAAGTGTGCGTCTACCATAAGAATATCTAGAAATGGTCTGTTCATCCCTGGAACGGCGGAGTTTGGAAGTCGAACTTTAGCTTCATCAGTCGGTGACTTTTAGACAGAACCTATGATTAACGAACATATTCTTTTTAGGATATCATAGGTGAACAACTTCAACTCAGTCTACAGGCCAAAAATGACAGGATACTCTGGGAAGAGTTTAACAGGAATTTCAAACTTCCGAAAATTGAGCCTCTGACGATTAAACGGTTCACTTGAGAAAACCTCAAGCACCAAAATCACACAAAACTCCTTCGTGTAACTCTCACTAATACTACCGACGTAGAGGATGTCCTTCTGGATAGCCACTCAATGAAATCAGGTGGGCATGTGGGAAAACTACTTGATTTAGCGTAATATGAACACAATCTCATCAGGAATATTCCCAAGGAATCTCACGAGATGGTTTTCCCGGAAGAAGCATCATTGTGCAAAGTGTGCCAGAAAACACAGACCCTGATCACACAAACCCTGATATTCGGGAACGGAAATTCAACAAGAAGTCCTTGAAGCTCAAAATCATTGACTCAATAAGTGGTGAAACTAACCAAAAAGGACCCCAGAAGATAAAGTTAACCCTCCCATCCTCATATATGGCAGCTGCAACTCAAGACATTCGGTACCAACAGATGCTGACAGCCAAATGGAATCAACAGGTATCCAGATAGGCCACATGACACCAGGATGGAACACAAAGGCAATTTGGAGCTGACCATTCCACTTGTGGACTGTCTTGACCTTAAAAATACGTGGTAAGGACAGGGGCTATCAACTCGGAAAACCTTGTATAGATGAACCACTTGTCCATTCACGTAAGGCTCATACAGACAAACAGGACGGGGAGGATCACGCGTTTCGAAATGAAACCATAAACTGCTTAAACATGAACGGCACGAGTTTACCGTATAAAATGGATGAGCTACGTGCACTCAGAAATGCTGACATTGTTCATCTGGTAGGAATATCTGAAATATGGGCATCTTCTCAAATTATAGACCAGACAAGTTTTTGTTTCACAACGACAAAAAAAGAATGGGAGGCGGAGAAGCCTCGTTCCTGCGATCATGCTTGAAAATACATCAAGTGCACAACCGAGAGTTTATCAATCTTCATGAATCCTTATTGTGCTCAATAAGATTGTCTACCGCCTTGAAGTGTCTAGTTGGAGCCATCTACAAGAACTCAATGCTGACATCGAGTACAACAATCAAATGCTGGAAAAGTAATCCCACTCTATTCGTATCGACTCCCCTCATATTCTGATTCTAAGTGACTTCAATCTCCCTAAATTCAATTTCGTTGAACATACATACATTGGAGGTGGTAAGTCAAATGAAGCTCGATACTCTAATCTCATTGAAGACCCGAGATTATTTGAAAATTCCAAGTCAAGATCTCGTTAAAGAAACAGTCAGACGCCTTCGCGCTTAGGCTGTGTGTTTACAAACGAAGAATCCTTGATTTACAACCTTTCAATCCTGGCTTCTTTCAGGAAAAGTGATCACACTGTCATAGCCTTTAGTTTATCAGAAAACTGAGTCAAGACCTCCTACCAACGACAAGCTCTGGAATTTCAAACAGTTGGATTTATCAACTTTACAAGACGATCTACAGCACGTGGACTGGGGAGTTCACCCCCAACTTGATGTGAATGCTCATTGGTATTTCTTACTGCACATGCTTCTATGTGCTACAAGACAGTCTGTTCCTCAAACGGTCCCTCAGGTCTACAAGCAACCTACAATCATCAAGAATCGTATTCTTCGATTGCTAAGCCGTAAAAGGCACTACTGGGCGGGGGTACAGACGAACTGGTAACAACGACGCACACAGGCAGTACAAACAAATAAGGAGCATCTGCATGGAGGTAATCAGAGAAGACAGGCTTCAGTACCAGATAAAGGTTTTCGATAATTTTGTCTGCACTGGGTAAAGCTTATTCTGTCATACAGTCTCTTTTCGACAAGCCTAAACTGTAGTTTTCCAACTGCTAGGTCCTAAAGGCTTGACCAACAACAGCGGTGGCGCCGCTAAACTTTTGGCTGAACAGTACTCTCGGACTTTCAACCAACCCACACCAACTTTATTGGTGAGAGCTTCATCTGCAACTCCACAGTACTTCGAGAAGTGGACCTGAGCGCCTACATAGTGTTCCGAAAACTGCAGAACCTAGGAAAAGACACTTCTCCTGATCCAGATAGGTTCATTCTGCTATACTGGAGGAAACAGCTTCAATATTGGCAACGTCACTCAGTGTGATGTCCTCACACTCATTAAATTGAAACAGGTTGTCAAAAAATTGAAAACTGGCTCACGTCACACCAATTTTCAAGAGAAGTCGTTGCAGCAAACCTTCAGGCTACTGACCGGCAGCACTTCTCTCTGTACCTTCAAAAATTATGGAGTCTTTGATATGCGATCATATACACGGCTATTTATTACTCATAAACTACTTTTCAACCAAACAGCACGTTTTGAAAAATGGCAGCTCTTATATAATCAACCTGCTGACTGCAATAGACAGACAGCAACCATCCTTGACCACAAGAAGAAGGTTGACATGATATATTTTGACTTCTCAAAAGCTTTTGATAGGGTTAACTGTATATATCTTATCAGTAAGCCCAAACGATTAAGTACCAAATCACCATTAATTGGTTGGCTCGCTTCGTATCTAAAATTCCATATTTCAGGGTTAATGTTAGCTTCACTTCCTCTCAGGCTATGGAATGTCCTGGTGGGGTTCGGCAGGGTTCACTGCTAGGAACTTTTCTCGATTTATATAGACGGTCTTTCAAAGCAGGAATCCTTGGATTTAATACATCTCACTGATGATGTAAAACTCTGGATGGAAGTATGCAACCAATAGGATAAACTGGTACTTCAGGAGGATCTGATTCGACTTCAAGATTGAGCAGACAACAACGGACTTACATTTAACACTTCAGGACGTAAAGTAATCCATCTGAGACATGTTGTAGACTACAGCTACAACGTAGGCAACTCTCCCCTAGAGATATCACGAGTTGAAAATGATCTAGGAGTGTTAGTATCCTACGATCTGAAATCTTACGCTAACTGCAATAAAAATGCCCTCCGAGCAAATCTTGCACTGGCAACGTGGAAGCGTATTTGTGGCCATTTTGACGGAGGATCTTCTCACATAATCTTCAGCACTTCTATTCGTCCTCATTTAGAGTGCAGAAAAATAGCATTTCTTTCCTTACCACGAAAAGATGAAGACGCTTTGGATCATATTCAACGAACACAAATTCATGACTTATGAAGTACGCATTCAGTTACTGAACCTTTGCCTATTAGAGTACAGACGCTTTAAAGGTAACCATCTAATGATGTACAGCATCCTAAACACTTCTGGTCATCCTCTTAAACACTCAATAAAGCTTAGTTGCAACACAAACTTTAGAGGTGACACCTAGAAACTGGAGACACAACATAGAAGAACGGACTGTAGGCACACCTTCCACTCCTTAAGAGAAGTTAAACGTTGAAATTCGCTGCCGGGTGAGCTAGTTCTAAAGACCTCCCAGGAGCCCGTTAAGAGAAAACTTGACACATTCCTAAAGACTAAATACAGTATCTCACTGCGATGTACTAGCTTATTTTTCTTTTTCCTTTTATCGTTAACATACTTTAGTTCCTACCCGGAGGCATCAGTGGTTCACTACTACTAGATACGGAATCCGTTTAAAAGATAGCTTCTTTGATTCCGTTTACTAAGATTCATGTCATACATCAGTCATGGTTACATGTTGTTTGTTCCGGCATAAAATTTCGGCGGTTATTTTGTTGCTTGTTTTCCTTTGTCCGAGCAATGAAATTCCAGTACAAAGAGGACCGTCCGTTTGAAAAGCGCTTAGAAGAAGGGCAAAATATACGTAAAAAGTACCCTTCCAGCGTTCCAGTAGGTTGGATTTCCAGTTCGTTGTTTAAGTATTTTGTCCTACTTAAAGTCTAATTCTAATTAGGAAAGTTTCCTAAACTTATAAGTCTAGATTTTATTGACTTCTAACATTATCAAGTTAAAATCCAGCCCTAAAACATTCCTGGGAAGACTTAAAAGTGCAACACTAGTAGTCTAGGTTATAATATGAATTCAACATATGTTGAATATGTCAAATATTTACCCTTCTCGGCACGGAACTTCCTGTGACATTCAGTGGTCTACTGCTATCGGGTATGGAATTCCTTCAGTTACAAACTTAGGTGTCACCTATATCTGTCCAAAGTTGTTTGGAATTAAAAGTGCCATTGTGGGTTCCGAGTCATTTAACGACCCAAACTCCCAATGTTTCAGGAAAATTCTGTCATTGTTGGGGGATTTTGAGGAAGCTGCAATGGAGATTTGCGGGGTGGTATGACAAAACTCCGAGATTTCCCCTACCCAGGGGCTTTTCTCCAATATTTTCGAACTGGACTTTCATATGACTGTGAGGAAGACCCTAGAATTTCCTCAGAATGCGGAGATTGGGGGGGGGGTCCAACATGGGGACTTTGGTTCATTTGCCTACCAGTCTTATCACCGGTTCCTAATCTAAGCACTTTCCAAAAAACGTTTCTGTCTGATGTAATATTCTCCCATATATTAGTGATAAAAAGCGAGTTTGCTTCATAAGTGAGGTAGGGAGATTTGCTTTATGGATAATTTCCCAACAAATCTGGCCCTCGTTGTTAAGAGTGATTCCTGTTCACTATAGCCTTCTGTATCATCATTGTCTTAGACATTAAACTTTTGTCCCATTTTCATTTATTGGTTTTCATGAATATTATGTTCCTGTTTCATCCACATATTACATCAACACGGTTGATATATTATTCGTGATGCCGTCATTTTCTTGGTGTTCCGCTTGTTTATTTTCTATCGTTCTGATTTGACATTTGCCAAATTGAACGGACACAGGCCATGCGTTTTCTGTAAATATATTTATAGCATTCTGGCTGAGCATCTGTGGTACCCACTTGACTGTACTTACTCAGTTAGGTCGCTCCCTCTCAACGGTTTCAGTTAATCATCAGTCGTCAGCATAGGATCTGGCACGAATGAGATCGATATAGTATATTAGCAAGGACAATGGCCTCCAAATGTTCTGGTTCGGCCGAGGGTGGGGAGAGTTAGCTCTCCAAATGGCGTATGAACCGATTATTGGTCACCGGTTACTATGGAACTGCATCTCCTGACGTTGCTCCACTGCCTTGTGGATCAGACCTTTAGGTCGAAGGCTCCGGGTACGGCCTCCTAAGGAAACTACCTGCTTCGGTCTGTGTATCTAAGCAGTATCACAGCCCTCAAACAAACCAAGTGACCTGTGTGGCTCATATGTATTCGGTGCCCATTTATACCAATATTTGTGTTCAAATAAATAAGCAACGACACTGGAAGAGGACTAAATCTCGAGAATTGTGTTCGAAAAGGTAGAATGGAAAGATATTTATGAAGGAATGCTAGAAATCAAGATCGAATAGAAGATGAAAAGTGAATGCATTTATCCTATTTTGAATGATTCTGAATCATGTCACCCGAAATCTCCAGCCACTGATTGCAGTTGTCATGTCGATCTTAACCAAATAGTCGGCATCTACAAACATGACTCATACTAAGTCACTGACTCCATGGACCGATGTTATGTCTTGGCTTAACTACCTCTATGGTTTGAAACTCGATGTGACATGGCTCAGAATCGATCACAATGATGTAGGTGTATGCATTCTCTGTTTTCCCTCAAACTATGAGATAGAAATTGCTCTATATCTTTCTACCAACTATTTTTCCTGTACTATATCCTTATATGAAATCTTTCTGATGTATATTACCACCATGGAATTAGCTACTCTGAATTCGGTGTTCATGTGCTAATGAGGTATGGCAACTTGGACCGATGCATATATGTGCCTGGTCCCACGTTGTAGCTGACGGACTGACTTAAAGATGTATCCTGGTGAAAATGGTGTTTCCAGGGATTCTGACATTTATTGAAGTTCATAATATGGCTCAAATATTTTCTAATTGGCCCGTATAATTTGTATTTGACTCAACTATTTGAAAGGATGATTATTAATGGTTTACTAATTTGTCCTTTCATTACAACGTATTTGCTAGATTGACGATTGTTCTAGGAGAATAGGACCGTCAAAAGTGTGATGTCGAGCGAAGGTAGCATTCAGTTTACGAAAATGATATAGTTTTGTTATTTGATAATGTCCGTTACATGTCCCCGTTATGTTTTGACTGATTGTAGGTTATTGTTGAAAAATCGCCTCGTGCACGTGTTGGTAATCTAGAGAAAAACAAGTATCTAGTTCCTTCGGACTTAACTGTCGGACAGTTTTACTTCCTTATTCGTAAGAAAATCCAACTAAATCCGGAAGAAGCGCTATTTTTCTTTGTTAAAGACATCATTCCTCCAACAAGCGCTACTATGGGTGCTCTCTATCAGGTAAGTAGTGTTAGCTGTTATTCTGCTTGGCGCATATTTACTCACTTGTAGCCTAATGGTTAGGGCATTTGATTTTCAGCCATCAAGCCCAAAGTTTAAACCCCTCCACTTATTTTGGTTTGGGCAACCGAGTAGTATCATTAACCCTCACACTTCTGTTTCATATCAAATTGCTCGGTGTCGCTATCATTTTCATAATCCTACTAGGTTTCATTTGTACGATATATTCAAGCTTCAGCTTGTTTCGGTCGTTTTCCTATGGAAGTGTGGTTTTATTTCTTCTGTATACTTTTGAAGCATCAAACAGTCGTCTAGTTTAACAGAAGTTTATACATCAGCTGGTGAATGAGTAGATTTCATTTAATTTGGACTGTTATTTTTATTTTGTCAATAGTGTGGCTCATTTGTTAAGGCCCCCAAATGCCCTGGTATGACCGAAACCGGGGTGGGTTCGCCCTCCCTCTCGAAATACTTTCACACGGCCACGCGTATACAGCCTCTGCCAGGGAAGTCCTACTCACTGCCTTCTTGTGGTGGGGTGTTTTTTACGAAAATGGGATGACGAAAAGCGAATGTCCGGCGCTTTAACCATGTCACAAACCAATGGTGCACATGGGCTCTAGTATCCTGCGGGAACAAGTGGTGTATGAACCAATTGTTGGTCACCGGCTTCCATGGGACTGCATCTCCTTACGATGCTCCACTTCCTTGTGGGTTAGACCTTTAGGTCAAAGGCTTGGGGTGTGGCCCCTAAGAAGACCACCTGCTTCGGTCTGGGCATCCGGGAAGTATCACAGACCACACGCAAATGATGAACTCTCTATATTTATGGAAACTACTTTTGTCGCTTCGAATAACAATCAAATGATTCAAATTATTGTCATTACTATTGTTATTATTATTTACTACGACATTATTCACCCTCTTTTATTCCTACTCTGTCTTTACTTATTTTTTCGACTTATACAGCAGCTCATCTTTGGTGGAAATTCGACTCTATCTAAACGTTCTCGAGTCACTGTCCGGTTGAAAATTGTATGTTACCACCGAATATGAGTACTGAAGCAGTTTTTCTGAAACCACGTGCACCATTCAAACTGGCTGCCTTCAACGTTCGCACATTTATGCAGGTCGGACAACAGATAGGGCTGGCTATGTCTTTGGAAAGTCTTAATATCGATGTTTGTTGTCTATCCGAGACCCGTATTCAAGACTCTGGCGAAGTACTACAAATTCGATCTCCATCTGTCGCTTCGAAAAGCTTGTTTTACGTGCGCTTATCCGGGGACCCTGTGGCATCTTCGTCTGGTCTTGCTGGCGTTGGTGTCGCACTAAGCGCTAGAGCTGAGGCAGCACTAGTCGATTGGATCCCCATTAACAGTCGGTTATGTGCTGTTAGATTAGAAAGTTCCATCAAAGTGAGAAGAAATCGGCGTGAGAAACGATGTCTTTTCGTCATCTCCGCCTATGCCCCGACAGATTGCAGCCCGGATGCAATCAAGGATGAGTTTTACCACCAGTTATCTGTTCTTCTCCAGAAAGTGCGTTCGACAGATATTGTAGTACTAGCCGGAGACTTGAATGCTCAGGTCGGGCGTCTAGGCACAGAAGAGAGTCGTTTAGGTGGCCGATGGGGACTCGTTGGTCGCAGGTCAGATAACGGGGACCGTCTACTGCAACTTGCACAGACCACAACCTGTTTCTGGCTAGCACTAACTTTCGGCACAGTCATCGCCGATGTGCCACCTGGCGTCCTCCCTCTGCATCTCAAGCCTGGACTCAGATTGATCACATCGCGATCAGCTACCGCTGGCGTGGTTGTGTAAAGACTGCCGCTCCTTTTGGAGTACCTATCTGGACTCTGACCATGCCTTGGTCTGCGCCAATCTTGCCTTACTTTTCAGTGGACAACGAAGTGACCGCCATCAACGGATTGATGTTAGCAAGCTGGTTGCAACTTCTGTTGCAAGTAAGTATCGAACCGAGCTAGCCTCTAGGCTACCGGGTACAGTCGGTTGCGGGTTCGCGAAACGTCCCGCTTATAAGCACTGGGTTTCTGCAGGTTCCTTACAACTCATTGAAGCCAGTCGGTCTACTCCGGGTGACCGTGAGTTTGACCATAAACGAAGGATGTTACGTAAGGAAATTGGGCAAAGCTTGCGTAAGGACCGAGAAGCCTGGTGTTCGGAGCGTGCTAATGAGCTGGAAGCAGCAGCTGCATCTGGTAACTACCGGAAGCTCTTCCAGCTCATCCGAGCCACTGGCAGCAAGAAGTCTGGTGTGAGTGAAACAATCTGCGAGGATGATGGGATGCCAATCATTAACATCCATCGACGTCTTGGACGATGGGCAGAATTTTTCGAAGGGCAGTTCAACTGGCCTGCTGCTCCGGCAACATCGGTCAAACTGTCCTGCCCTCCATGGCCGGTGACGACTGATCCACCAAACGAGGAGGAAGTCCGCAAGGAACTCCAACTCTTGAAGCGCTACAAATCACCTGGCTCAGATAACTTACCTCCGTCTCTTTTTAAGGATGGTGGAGACTTTCTGACTAAGGAACTGACGACGTTGTTTACAAAGGTTTGGGAGCTAGAGAGTGTACCAACGTTATGGAATGAGTCGATAGTTGTCCCTATCCTTAAAAAGGGTTCACGTCGTTCCTGTAACAACTATCAGGGGATAAGTCTACGTCCGATTGCATCCAAGCTATTGGCTTCCGTCATACTTCGTAGGTTGTGGATCTGTTGCCCATAGAAAGACTTCTCGACCTTGAGTATGCGGATGGTATTGTCTTACTGTGCGATAATGCCCAAGGCATGCAATCCACACTTAATCAGTTGGCAATCAGTGTCCGTAGGTATGGTATGTGCTTTTAGTGGCCCGTGAATCTGACTCCTATTTAGATCGTATGGATGTTTGCTATCGCCTATTCTCGTATATCATCGTCAAGTTGAATCGCGTTAGTCAATAACGGAATTAAATAAGTAGAATAACGAGAATTGACTTGTGAATACATATACTTTGTATATGAAGCGGAGGAAACAGAGTAGAGCAAAATGAAACGCAGGGAAGATGGCTGGGAAGCCAACTTCATCTTTGTCAAGCGTTACTCAATATTTATAGTCAGACAAAATAAAGCTACAGATATGTGATTAATGGGATAAGAAGGGCACACACATATGCGCTCATATAAAAACAGTCTAGATTGATAAGCGAATAAATAACAAGGTCAAAGTATGGCTCGAGCAGAATGAATAAAATGGGATGTCCGGAAGCTAGAATAAGGCATATGGGCTTGGCATAGTAACTGACACTACATGCTTTGCACCTTCGAAGTGCAAAGTACTTTTACAAGACTGGCAGGATTCTAATCCTGTACTCACTCTGGATGGTGAGCAGATAGAAGTAGTTGAGAAGTTCGTGTACCTGGGTAACTGTATAAGTGCTGGTGGTGGCGTGAGTGGTGAGATCAATGCACGTATAGTGAGAGCCAGTGGCAACACCATGTCAGTAATTCAGAGGCTCGGCATCGTGTGTTCGGGCACAGAGATGATAATGCAATTGGTGTCACCATCTTGAAACGTCGACTTTGGTGGCTTGGACATATTCTACGAATGTCGTCCCAGAGAATTCCACGTCGTGCATTATTTGCCGACTCTGGGACTGGTTGAAAAAAGTGGAGAGATGGTCAATGTATGACATGGTGTGGTGGTATGAAAGAAAGCTGCAAAGGGTTTGCCTGTGTTGGTCCTTCACGATTCCCTGGCTGGGGTTCGAGAGATGGTGCTACACGGTGGCTAGAGACGTTATCAGATATGGCTGAGAATAGGAGCCAGTGGCGATCGTGCTGTAACCTTTTTTTACTTTCTTCATAAAAAGTGGTTGTCTTCCTTAACTACAAGATTTTTTCTTATTGTACCTTTCCGTTCCCCCATTTTTACCATTATTATTATTACACCACCTTACATCAATCTCTTCGTTATTATTCTCTTTTTTTCCTTCCCCTTAAATTCTCATTGTTTTGTGTGGCGCATATATATTTGGTACCCTCTTGTACCAATATTTATGTGTTCAAATAAATAAATAAATAAATAAATAAATCATTTTTTAAGCACAGATTTATCCAATTCCCCGTAAGGTACATATTGTACTTAAGGACTAGTGATGCTACCCATAATAGGTGAGGCGGGGCTTGAACATGTATGGTTAAAAACTAAAGGATTTAATCGTTAATCTACCACTTTAAGCCCTGTCTTTAATTTGTAGGCAATATGATTTTTTCATCTCATCAGAACATTATATATAGCTTTGTACATATTGGATTCAACACTTACATATATGATATTTTTATCGTGAGCCTTTTGATTTCGACCTACTTTTAGGAACATCATGATCGTGATCTCTTCCTCTACATTGCATACAGTGATGAAAGTATATACGGATCAGTGGAAGACTGCATATCTTCATGAAAATTCAATATTGGTCAAGGTCCTATTTTCAAAAGTTTATTGGGTCTGTGTTTCTTCCCACATCACTCTACCGATATATCTATTGTTACCACACATACGCAACATATGATCAGTCATTTCCGTTGATTTTTTTCAGTCATGTTTTCTCTAAAACTTACACATTGTTTTAAGTATTCATCTAATAACATTAATAATTATGTGTATTTCACCTTTTTTTCTTGTTATTTATTAAGAGTTATTAAGTGGAGTTCGCATTTTGTGCAAAACAGTTATTGTGAATGACATTCATTATTTTCATTTTCAGTAATTTGACTGAAGACGAAATACATTTTGTAAAAGCGTACATATTAGTTCTTTTTTGGCTTGTTTGATATGAGTTCGTCATTTTTTGGATAATAAGGTTTAATGTACGTGGTGTTACATAGCATTATTATGACTAGCTAACCAATGGAGTTCTGTTGCGAATCAGGTTCTGTCAGTTAAGTCAGTAGTTATGTTATTTTTCAGTGTTGATTGAAATCTAAGTCTGTAGGGGTTAACGATTGCTTTTGGTTTCAATGTAGGATTGTAAGGCTTCATCGGTATAAGCAGGTCACATAAAGAGATTGGAAGTATCCTTAATCAATTGTGACATTAGAGTATCCATTTCGTATGAGTGAATAAGTTTAGAGGTGCAATGTAATGATAGTAGGTCATTTGATTAATTAGAGATCTTCAGGAATCATCAGAGATATACCAATAAATATTAAGCCATCATTTATTTTAATGTATGATAATAACTGACTTCAAGGTTAGATGAGCGCAATTTTGCCTTTGAAACATGAATTTAGTGAGGTAATTGAACTTCACTACTACTGGCTTCAATTATGTATTTATTTATTTGAAGAAATTAAAACAATGACTCCATGTCATCAATATGACTTACAGGGTTGTATAATATAGTTTTAAATCATCAATATTCTCTCATAATCTATACCACCAAACTTTTAGTTGGATGTAGAATCTGGTCATTGGGAATTAGTTGTTAATATCAGCTAGTTATAGACCTACTATTAACTTTGCTTCGTTTCTATAGAAAACATAACCACTGAAGATATCTATATGATGATTGATCGTACAGTATATCTTATAATCTGGTATGATGTACAGTGCAATAAATGATAATTAGCCAAAATAAAAATTAGGCGATAGGAAAAAATTGGTTTGAGTTGTGTTGAATTAAAGAATGCTGTTTGGAAGTATGCAAACAAAGTTAATGTACATGTGTTATATTTCTAGTCTTCTAAACCTGTTGTTTCTTACTAATAGTTGGGTAAATTTAGGAACTCAGTAGTCCTGTCAGTCATCCACTTGCCTGTTTCAATTTGTGTTTGTGGAGATTGTTGTGTATTATTGAGGATCATAAACCAAGCTGGGTTAGACAATTAATAAAAATCAGCAAGCACTGGATATCGACTCAGTTGTTTGGATGTTAAGGTTTCACCTTGAGACCTGAAAGTCCTCGGTTGGATCATCGGTATGGTATTGAATGGACACCGTTAAAGAGTCCTATACTAGGGTAAAACTGTTGTCCTGGTTTTTACTGGTTGCCTCAGGTTATGTGCTTCAGTTTCGCAATATCAGTATTCTAAAGATTTCATTTTACGTTTATTCACACCAAATGGTTATAAGCTAAACGAGTTCACGTCCAAATAATTTTGATCAATGAATACTTTATACTGTTGCCCTTAAAGCCTTACACCTTAATATTGGCTTTGCCTATCTGGTGGTTAGACCTATTCCACATCGTGTTTCTAAAATCCTGATGCTTATTCTCCTGTAGTTATATTTATGTTGAATCTCACTGACCATATTTCATTTGTGTAGTCATTAACTACTGATCAGGTTGATAAGTGCAGATTACCTGGTTGGAATCCGTCTGATTATCGTGATCAAATCACTGAAGACAGTGGATGACATGACTCAGAATCAGTCGTAGTGGTGCAGATACATTCAATTTTTTGTTTTCTCTTGGATCAAAGTTGTTACATACTTTTGGTTCCGTGAATTCAATCTTGGATCATATTACCTAAAGCTAATCTCTTCTGTTATCACTGGTACGGCTACTACTTCTGTTACGGCATTTTTCTTAAGATTTTCATCTCTCTGTGCTAATATGATGTACCAACATATGTGCCAGCTTGTATATTACTTGTGACTGATTAACTGACTGAGTTGTGAAGCAGAATGCCAATCACTTCTAAATATTAATGTGTCTTGTTATTCATTCAGCACAGTATTTACATATATCTGTGTTCATAAATTTAACATGTGACAATATTTTTGAGTGGTTATACTTTAAGCGTTTGTTTATCAGATTTTTCTGTGGATGTATGTGGAATTTTATCATATAATTTTCGATAATTATAGTTCATCGGTTCAAGTTGTCATAATTTAGAGGGGCCAAGAGTCCACGAAGTAAAGTAATTATGAGTCCATTTTGTACCTGATAACATGAGTGATTGTATTACCTGTTTACCAACATTCCCAGCTGTCCTCTTCCAATGTTCTTATGATCTTTTGCATATTTGGTTAGTTTAACAATCTGTTGATATGAAGCGAATATTAGAGAAACTGAAGCTACTTTACAGGCCTATTATTTCTTTTGTTGTATAATTATTAGATAATTGGATTATTATATTTCTATTCTTGGTATTGTAAATTTCTGTTAGACCCATCAACTATTGTTATACTTCCTACCATTTGTTAATTATTACTGATTAGTTGTGTACCATTGTCTTTCACTTATATGGCATCATCGTGTGCAAAGTATTTCTTAATTGGGGTGCATTGCTGTTTGACGATCCATGCATATGAACTGATGAGTGTTTGAGATAAATATGCTAGGTTCCCTCAATATAGTAATAGAAGCTCACCTGACTTGTTCTCCTATTCTAACTGGAGACTAATGGTAGAAGGTATGCGTACCGGTGGATCAATAAGAGCTAAGATTATATCGGCTCCTATTCAAGGTTAATTTCGACAGTTGTAGTATATCAAAGCGTAGGATACTAGGCTATAGACGAAATAGTACACGTGGGGTAGAGAAGTTATGGCGAGAATTCTAAATGACAGATTTTCTAGATGTCGATTGACATTCTCATTCACAGCACAGTTATATCAATTGCAGTGTTAGATGAAGCAATTTACATTTTACACGATTTGGACACATGTAGATTCAGAGTGTTCTACTGTCTATCTTTCATACGAACAGTTTTTAATCATTCATTAATGCCTAATAATAAGATGGTATCTATTTTATCATTAAATGTTTCCCCTTTGGTATGTTACGAAGATTTTGTGCTTTGCGTTTCACTTTTTCATATAATAAATACTAGTAAACTAATTACATTTTGAATGATTCATGGGTTTTCCAAATTTTTTGTTGTTACATGTATCAGCTGATTGTTCATTCCATAAACGTATGATTTTGTTTGATCGAAGTATAATAATTGTTATATTTTATGAATCCTTTATTAGTTTTACACTCCCTTTCATTTGTATTTTGACTTTTTTAATGTAATAATAAATCGACTACCTAGTTTACACTGTGTGATCTGTAAGGAAGTCAGATGACTACTTTTTTATTAAGCAGTTGATAGTATTGTTTTATTTGTGTATGTCTATATGCCTGGTAGCTTAGACTGTTTACTTGATGTGTACTGCCTTATCATTTGTTTGGTGATATAAATTTTACATCTAAGTTATTCAAAAAATATTAAACTTATTCAATACAATCTACGCGGTTAATAGATACATTTAGAAATGGTTACTTATAGTCAGTTGCTCCATACGTCGGGTATGACAGAAGTAATTTAGAAGAAATTTAAGAGCCTCTAAATCAAAAGATGTTATTAGTTCATTAACTCATTGACTGTTTGTTTGAGTCGTGTTGGTATATGGCAGTCCATCTGATTGTAGTTTACACCGTAACCACGGTCATAGGCTTCAGGTAATATGACTTGAAATCGATCACTGACTCATGCCCCTTTTATCTTCCCCTAAAACATTAGGTTCAAGTACTTCCTCATACACACTTCATTTTCACTCGTTCTTTTCGAACCATACTTTCAGTGTTGATGTTTCTTAACTGTCATTGATATCACCATTATTTCGATTCCTCTGCTATTCATCTTGTCAATTTTGTCTCTTTATGCTGGTGTAGCGTGACTAGTTGAGCCTATTAATCCTTTTTACCAGACTTTATGGTGATTATGACTGACTGTACATTTAAAGTGTGATTATATTTGGTCAGAGAAATCGGTAATCGCAAGGAAGTATATCAATAACTAGTTTTTTTTCAAAGAATCAACTAGTGTTTTGCATGAAGTAGAGTTTCGTAATTTATATTTATAAACTGATGTCGATTCATCCATAGTTTAACTAATGACTTCTTGTCTCCCATAGAAATAATAGCATATTCATGGAAAGCAGTTTCTGAAACTCTATTTTTGTATTATGATATTGTTGAAGGAACCTAATACATGCAGTTATAACGTATCGAAAACAACTAGATCACATAGACTGGCATTTTGTCGAATAACCATTTTGATTCTCCCGTTATCGTACTGTAAGTATCAAATGTAAAAGATACCTGGTAAATAATAGTTTTTTTTTAGATTTCTTTAGATTCTATAATGTTTAACTTATAGATGAGAAAGACTAACCTCTATTCATTACTGATTATTATTATTTGTACGTTATAGTACAATACCTATGGTTACATCATTTATTTCAACATTGAATATAAATACTGGTGTAGCGCAACTTAGCGCCTGGCTTACTAGTCAAGCTATTCATGTACCTCCTGGTTGGATTGATGCTTGTGTGGCTTGGCTTGCTGAAGAGCATGGAGGTATTGATGCATGTAATCATCTTACAAAGTCTGATTGGTGTCAATTAATATATGAGCAATGGCTTCATTCTGATTTGAAGCAGTTAGAATGTCCAGTTCTACCGTCAACTATATCTACTTCAAGAAATCCCCATGAAAGTTCGCTTAGCAGTGGTACTGATGCAAATACCATGAATTCACCTGCACTTAAGCTGGATGGTGAACTTTGTCTTCAAGTAAGCTTTGTGATACAACTCATTATTGAATTTGTACTTTTAATTTTGTAAACGTTTATTATTCTAAATCGATCAACATTGTGAATACATTTAAAACATCAAGTAATACATATCTATTAGTTGGTAAAGTTATCAGTTCAGTATGATCTACTTTAGCGGGACACAATGAAAATGTTTAGTCGTATCGATTTGATTTGTTGACAATAGTAATTATGGTGTTTATGAACATTAGGTTTAACATTATTTCAACCAACTACCTACTTATTGTATGTGATGCACAATGGCTTAGTGACTAAATTATCCTACTTTCAGCCAGTAGGTAGTAAGTTTGAAATTCTTTTCTGTCTACTTTAGTATGGGTAGCCGAATAGTATTACTAGCTTTCATACACGGAAAGTCCAGTTAAAAGTCCCGAGTACATGAAATTGTACATGATCAATCAGTTATACTAATTAACTGATTATCTTTTTTAAAATATTATGGTCGCTTAATAAGGCCTATTCGTCCTGATTCTTGATAACTGTCAAAATGTAGTTAACAAATTTTCTGAGACTGTATAAGTGATATGGTATGCCAAAAATTAAGCCTAATAGTTAAACATTAACTCTGTTAAAGTGACTTGTGGTTCCTATGTTCTTAGACTGTCTATTTATTAAGTGACTTCTAATCATGTTTATACTTATTTTCAATATCTTGAATATAAGTGCATTATTTCATTAGGAAAATAAACCTGTTCTACTGAACAACTGTCTTATCTTCAGATATCAGTATGATTGATGACTCACATCAATAGTTCAGTTTCGTAAGTATCCATCACTTAACTACGTATTATCGTATCATTTCATATCATCTATCAATCGACATTTTATCCACTCACTTTAATAACAAATTTCGTCCATAAAATCCCACACCATCACGGTACGATTTATATAGTCGATTTGTCTACAACTGTACTATATTTGCGAGTGTTAACTTTTTCTCATTGAAACGAAAAATCTAAAAATGATATAATTGATAATTCATTGATTTACTTGTTTAATTTAGGTTGTCAATTTATTCAACATAGGTGAATCATACTATGGTCAACTGAGACGATATGAGGGTAATTTGAGCGTGAATCTACCTTCATTGGAAGTAGACGGTGAAAATAATCCAGAGGGACATACTACACAAATGACACAAGCTTTTAGTCAATATCTTAATCAAAGTCGTAAGTAGATTGTGTTATATATTTTCTACATTGTTCTTGATTAAGTGGCAAAATCTATCTCAAATGCAAATGCTTGATTATAATCTATTAATCTGATGATTTTAAGGTAGATATATTACTCATTTGCTCTCAATGAATCAATAGAAGTGTGTTTAATCATGTTACTTAATGATTGGTAATCCAATTAATCGTCTTTCCGCTCAAACTCAGGGTTTAGGTGTGCAAGCATCTATCAAACATTGAAGCATATTAATTTTTCTGTGTGGATAAAGTGAGTAAACATACTACTCAACTGCTCGAAATAAGCGGAGGGTATTGAAACAGTTTACATCGCTTAAATACTAATGTTCACATATATCCAGTACGTCATTATTCTCTACCTTTAAACATATTTTTTCGTGTTCTCTTCTCATATTTCTGTTGAAGCAACTCAAACAAACAATTTTAGACAGTCAACAATGGCCAATTGTCTCACTCTATTTCTTACTGATGGAGTAAATGAAATCAAAGTTATTGAATTTGGCACCCAATCCACAAGATCACGATCTTCTTTACCTTTTAAAGAATTATCAAAAAAACTTCGACCTGGAGTAAAAATTCGTCTACGTGGACCATTACTTTTACGTAATAACGTCTTACTTGTTCCTCCTGGTGCTTTACAGTCACTATCAAGCCATCAATTGGAAGTTTTAGGCGGTGAGGTAACTAATATCTATGTGTATAGTTTTGGTTTTTTACGAGGATGTCACCTTGTGAACTCTATTTTTACTTGAGATAATTCAGTTTACATGACGATAGGATCTGTACTCCCTAGAGATATGTTAATAATCTTGTAAGCTTTAAAAGTCTCCACTACAAGTAGAGCAAGGTCACAAAATCTCAATAGATACTTGCCAAAGTCCCAGTAATATTCTTTACTTATTGAAAAATGCATTCATGTAAGGTCCTCCTGCCCTCAAACTCCATTTTCAGCTATGGTTTTACATGAAAGTCAGCTGTTGTTACTTCAACAGTTAATTTTTTAAGTTCCACAACTCTCAATAGTCAATCTTATGTTGATTCTCTTATTAATGTAAACACATATTTCTCGAGTTTTAGGTTCATGATACATGCAATACATTCAAAGTGTTGTATACTTTGTCAGTCAAATAAGCTGAGAAAAGCAAGTCATTTTAATAATTTTTTCATCAATAAAAAGCGAAATTACAAAACTGTATTTGACAAACAAATATCTTGTTCCGAAAAACTTAATTATCACTCCTATTCAACTTGTGAAGTGCGATGATTAAAGTTAAATGGTAGATTTGTGGTTCGGTTGGATTCAAACTGTATCTGCCTACAGTCAATCGGTTGGTCATAATATATATAGATCCTGACATAAATGTATCTTAGCTTAAGCTGCCACATCATACCAATACCACACATCAAGGGGAGTCGAAATGAAAGAGTAAAGCTTAACCTGGAGAATATGATTCGGTAATACAGAATTAAATAAAAGAGTAGAAATTATGAAATGGCATTGAAACTCAAGATTGGTAAGAAAACAAAAAAAATTCATTTGGTCACCGTAACCGATTCTGTGTGATGTCTGTTTATTAACTAATATATTATCTTTCGATACAAAAAGGGTCATAAAACAACAACAGAGACCGAACAATTACAATCATGATTTTCAGCACTTGAAAATCATAAACCCTTGCTAATACTTTCCCAGTCGTTGAACAAGTTAATAGCTATGTATCGTTACCAGTCCTTCAGGTTGTACATATCACAACAGAGACTTATCATTTGAAGTTCTAAATATCGATAGGAAATTATAATCACCCGACTAAAACCTAAAGAAAATTTACAAGATTTTTACTGAACCCATTTTATTCTGCATCACTGATTGTTCCTGCCGTATTCATATGAAAAGTTTACTTTTACTAAATTGAACAATATTGATCAAATTAAAACAGTGATAAGAATGGCTTATGATCTAGTATTAAAGTCCGATCGATTAAATATGATTTACCGAATATTTAATAGTTCATTTTTGATAAAGTTCAATTATTCTTCTTTTTTTATGGATATCCTTTCTAATGTGATCAGAAATGTGCAAATGTTAGTTTGCTCATACTCACCGACTTACTCTTTTATTTAAGAGAAATAATTTATGCGATGTTTATCAAAAAACCCTTTCGAATGAGTTCATAGTTTGTTTGTTGTTATGAATAGTCAGTCACTCAATCATATGCAACTTAGAACCTGGGATGTACTTTAGTTCAAGTTACTAAGCCACATTATCTCAACGATATAAAACTATTCCTGGACAAATCTCCGAGTAGTAGAAAACATTAAGTATAGGAAAAGAAAAAATGTGTAAGAACATTTCGAAACTCGGATTTCAAGTGAAGACAAAAACGGAATAGATCTGTGATATTCCTAATGATCCTGAGCCATATAAAAAGTTCGTAAGTGTTGGTTACGACAATTCTTAGGACCCCAACCAGGTAATCTGCATCCACTTACATGGCTGAATCAATTATGCTATAAATTTGCAGATAAGATGTGAAATAATTACTCAAGTCACCCAAAAGAATTGAGTTTATGAATCATTGAAAATCAATAAGTAATTGATAACTGTTTAGCTCTTCATTTAGTTTGTAATGTTTTTTTTTTGGATAATTCGGTTGTTGATATTTTTGACCGATCAAAATTGAGTCGAAAATACCAATAATTGTGATAATCCAAAACCATTACAAATTGTATCAAAATTCATACCTGTTGCACAAATGACTGGTTATGTGAACTCAGTAACTAAGTAGATAACTTATATCTTCTTTTTGAACGCCAGATTCGGCTCCTAAGCTCTACTAGTAACCCCGAAACACGATGACGAACCTAGTCCAAAATGCACTCATTTATATATTGATTGTACACCCATTTTGATTAATAATTAGGATGAAATCACATATAACAAATCATATGCTGAATATAGTTTATGTTAACTTGATGCAAGAATATCGTATGTTATACAGGAAAACAAAATAAATACTACATTGAGTAATCATTACATTGGATTAAAACGAAAATAATGTTGAACAAAATCATACTAAGTAAATCAATATAATTTTGACTTTTCTTTCCATCATATCAATAACTCATTAGGCGGTCGAAATGAACGTAATGGTTTCGGATCACGAAGTAAACATCAGCTCTGAGATGTAACTACTGTCTTGTCCTATAGCCGATCAATTATCACGTGACAAGATCGTCAATCAGAACACCGACTTATACGACCTCAGCCCTGTGCCGAACCAATGATGCGTTAACCAGCACGAGCAGCCTAGAGTCTACTCTAAGTTTTTATAATTTCTTCTCACATAGCCCTGGCTGTTGAATCCAAAACACAATCTCAGCTTCCGCTGTATAAATCACGTATTTCAGACATATGTAGTTTATATACAAGCAAATCAGACCTCATGATACCATAAAATAGAAAATAAAAATTATAAAAGATCTGACCGAAAGCGTTTGTATGTGGGTCTGTAACCAGTAGATTGGAAGTAACTTAAGAAAAGTAAATCGTATAATAGTAGTCAATATATCGAAAGAATGTTTATAATAAGAGAAATACAAATATATATATTCTAGTTACTTGATGGTTATACAATAAGAATGTCTGCATAATAACAGTCCATAAATAATTCCTAGCAGTTGCCATCCATTCATTCATCGTTCGGATATAATAGGTACATATAACTGATGGGTCCCAAATAAGACGAAACATCTATCCTGAATTCCTCTGCTAGTCACAATCCATTTGTTTCATAAAACATCTCATTAGTGCTCACTCATAACACTGCGCAAGTCAGTCATAGGCATTGTCAGACCTGGCATATATATGCATCGATTGAAGCTACCACATCATATCAACACAGTGAAATGAAATTATTAAGATGAATGTCAAATAATGGGATTAATAACAGTAGTAAAAAAGATTAAGCATAAATATTATGACCCAAGAACGTATTCGCGAAATATAAAGTGTCCGATAATTTTAAGACTCATGATGTAAGGGAAGACAAAGATTAGATCCATCTGCACCATTAAGACCAATTTTAATAAAATATCATCCAAAATCTGCAACCGTTGGTTATGATAATCGTGTAGACTTTAATCAATTGGTGTGCGTCTACTAGCGCAGCCCTATTCAGCAATTAACAGTGTCGTTTCTTGCAATGTGCTCAGTTGTGGTTGACTAATTCATCCACATTTGTTACGCTAGTTCACAATTTATCACAACCATTGTAAGATGCCATTCGTGTAAGTCATTGCTTTACTTCCAACTTGACTGACCATGTACACATCCGTACCTCCAAAAAAATCCCAAACTAGGATAAGACAGAATATCAAATACTCTCTGATTGTAGCATGATTTCTCAACTGATGTAATTCTTAAACATAATTCTGCACTTAATTTGAATAAAACTTGTAAAATCCTTAGACTGAAGGAAAAGCATAAATATATATTCAGATAATGATTCATTTATAAAGTCCATGCAAATTAAGCTGCACAATTTATAGTTAGCCATGAAATAACATTAAACATTCAGTCTATATTTCGTTAACAAGTTCTTTTATAAAAAGAATTTGGCTAGCCTTGGAATCCAGGGTCCGCTTTTTTCCTATCAAGGATGTACCCTCATCCCAATGTTGATGTTTCCACTGAAATTAGGACTCACTACCGTTTGTCTACAAGTGCCAAACACACTATCTACTTAGCTACTGAATCTACTTCTGTACAGATCTATTCCTTATTCTTCATATATCCTTCATGTATTCTTCTTTCGTCTCTTCTGATTACTTTATTTATTGTATTTCTATATGTAATATCTGTAGGTTACAGCGTAAATAGTCAAGTAATCTGACGATGTATATAATCAAGTTCATTAGCGACTTACTTTGAGACGAATTGCTGTAGTTCTAATGGAAGTCGTATCTGATGGAATTCAGAAGTGTTGAGGGTGAAACAATCATCACTTATGCCATTGAATGATCGTCACTCTGTTTATCGAATCGATTGACTTTAGAAATGTGTACTATTAGATGCCAACCCTGTGATTCTGGTAGTTAAGCGTTCACTGCGAGATCTGGAGGTTCTAGCTTCTATCTCTCATAGGGTTGTGTGTACATACTGTTGAGGAGTCTCATACTAAGACGAAATGACTATCCAGTGAACCCTGGTTTTTACTCGTGCCGCAACAGAGATCTACTAATGACGAATTACATTCACAAATTAAGATATTGTTTCTTGATTACACATTGATTCTCTACGGTTCTTCAGTTAACATTTGGTTTGTAACAATGATCATTAATAAATTAGAGCCATTACATAAACGAAGTTAGTCGATAGGTTAGTAGCTAAACCAATTAGCTTTCAACCATTGAAAAAGAAGTTCGAATCCCACTCTGCCTAGTCTGGTTTGACCAGCTTGGTAATATTACTAAGCTTCAAACCGAAAAGTTGTTGTCAGTTACTATGTTGCCTAACATGGATGTTTATCTCCGATGCGAATTGTCACATATATCACTACAGGAAGTGAGGGAGGGAGTAGTACAGCAATAGGAGAGGTAAGCTGGATAAATAATGATTTTCACAATTCACACCATTTAGCTGTTTTGGGTTGCGTTGTTTACTGGCTTAAAGAAAGCTAATAGTGACCATATCAATACATGGCCCCAGTCCATGAAGTCATTGACCATTGTATTGAGCTTTGTTGTTAGTTACAGACTATCTGATTGGGGTCCACGCAATCATTGTAAACAATGGTCACAGACTTTAAGTGACGTGACTCAAAATCATCCACAATGGCAGAAACACATTCACTCTTTCTTTCTTTGAGTCTCGTCTTAAAATTATCTTATGCTTTTTCCCCTCAAGTTCATTCTCTCTTTGCTTAATGTTTCCTACTATCCTCAGATACTGTCACTAGTTTCACCGATCTTGATAACTTTATATCGATGTGCTGTTATGTTATCGCAAATTAAACCAGGTTCTATGTTACTTATAACCGACTAACTGATACTATTTAATGTGACTTTTTGAAATACGAAATAGTTTAACATTAATATAGATGCTTCTGTATAATTAATTACAGTTGTGTAGAATAGAAGAAAGAATATGACCTTAGGGAAAAATGATCACAAATAGCTATTTTTCATTTTGAAAATTCTTTCACAATTCACAATATTATTGATTTACTGTCTACATTTCATTACTATGTTTAGATTGTTTTAGTCATATGATTTATTTCCGGTTTGTCAAATTTATTTGGACATTGAAATCAAATATTTCTGTGTTAAAATTTAAGACACTAATCCATATCACGTGGTAAGTTCAATAATCACACTTTAATTTTGATATTTTTCTATCTTGTGTCTACCATTCCGTCTATATTCAAGAATGGTAGACTTCGCCAGTGATACGTTCTAACCTCTACAGCTAACGATTATTTAGTGCAAGCTACTCTTTACAAAATTTAGAAATGTTTTGCATGAAAAATATAGTCTTTGAGCGATGTTAGAAGTGACCTTGAGAGTGTCTACCTAATAACTAGGACCAAATGAGGGTTATAAACCAGTGTGAGGAATTTGAATTAGGATTTATGGTTGATGGTTAGGGTTAGGAATCAGATCTATGGTTTTCATCACGAACTGACATCAGCTATAATGCTAAAACTCTATTTAGCCAAATGGATGAGTGAATTTCGCGCCAAAATCCGTGACCTGTTATCTTGTACCTTATTGGTTCCTCCATAAATTATAGTCTCGTCGTTACATTATTCCAGCATATTGTCATAGTGCTTTCGTTGTCCTATTGAATAGTTTCGAAATCGTAAACAAAACTCGCGTCGTTAGTCATATGACTGACTATTTTGTATAACGAAATGTTTTATTTTTACGTCAAGTTTGGAACGTTACCAAATAATAGAAAATTAGTGGATAATGCAGCCATTAAAATTTTACATCACCAATCCATTGTCTTCGAAGTATGATAAGTACATAGTGTGAAAAAATCTTTTAGTTTTGAAACTTATCCAAGATATATGTCATTATAAAAAGTAAAGATTTTATAATCTATCGGTTTAATCTCATACTTTTTATGTTGACTAATATGCTCTTGAAATCTAGAAATTAAGACATCAGTGTATTCACTGTTGCAGGTAATTATTGGAGGACACGAATGATTATATCAATTTTTTGTGCTATCGCGATGTATGGTACTTATACTGGAAGATATAAACAGTATGTAGCACCAGTCGGAAGTGGAATTCCTGGAAGCAGAAGGTTGAAATGAAGAGAACAAGAAGAAAATCAGAGCCATCTAAGGAACAAATACTCTGACACAGCCGATAGTGGGGAGAGTCAGCTCTCCTCGAAATGCTCTCAAATGGCCACGTACATAAAACGACTATCAGGGAAGTCCCATTCAATGACTTCTCGTGGAGGGGGTGTTGTTTACAAAACTGAGAGGACGAGAAGTGAATGTCCGGCTTTTTAACCGGGTTGTTAGATTTAGAGGATCCATTTAGGGAAGTAGGGAAACCCTGATTCCAAATCAATGGTGTACATTGGCTCCAGGATCCTGCGGGAACAAATGGCGTATGAACCTGATGTTGGTCACCGGCTACCATGGGACTTCATATCCTAACGTTGCTCCACTGCCTTGTGGACTAGACTTTTAGTTCAAAGACTCTACGTGTGGCCTCCTACGAAAACCACCTGCTTCGGTTTGGGCGCTAGGGTAGTAATTCAGCCCTCACACAAGTCGAGTGATTTATGTGGCGGATATCTATTTGGTGCCCCCTTGCACCAATGTTTATGTGTTTAAATAAATAAGTAAAGACTTTAATATTATCATTTTTATCTGATGGGAAAATATGAACAACATATGGGTGTATGACCTGGTAAAAATGAGGAATTAACAATGAAGCATGAAAATAACATTGAATATACAGTTAGATACAATACAATAAACTATGTTAAACTATATTTATGGTTGTTATTTCATTACTCTTTAAATGATTAAATTGAAAAGAGAAAGAACACATGCATAAACAGTTAACTAAAATGAAAATCAGAAGGAAACATGTAAAATTTGTGAGAAAAATAAAGATCAATTGAGACAATATCACATTTGGATAAAAGATGTAGAACAAGAAAAATTAATTGGGAATTTTATGATTGATTACGTCATAAATACGCTCTGTGTTTAGACGCCTTTGTTCTCTTTCACTCTTCCACATTTCAAAATTGAACTTCTCATCTCGATAGTGAAAAGTATTGTAATGATTGTGTTATGTTATTAGTTAACTGAATTGTTTTCCAAACATAAACAAAACTTATACTTTCTTTGTAAGATTAATGTGAATAGGAAAAGTGTTTAAATTATGGGAAGAAATAAAGTGTGTGTGTGTGAGTGTGACTTCATTCAACTTCTACAGTGTTTATTCATTCACATTAATCTTTATTTTAGCATAAACAAATTCGGTAAGAGTACACATACACAATCTATCGGTTTACGATTTTAATTTCAGTCACTCAATGTTAGAATTAATTGTTATGCGACTTAATTTTGGATGGTTGAAATCAGTATTGAACTTAAATACCCAACTTATGTACATATTTATCACAATTGTGACTTCATCTAAATCTGAGATGGTCATTATTTATTGAAATTTGCAGTCATTATCGTTTTAAATACTCTTCAACTATAATAAAAATAAATTATGAATACGTAAAACGATGTTGTATTTATTTGCTTTTTACTATTTATAGGTTGATGAACTCTTAGAAAACTATGAAGAAAATACTATGTATGAGGTTGGTAAACTATTGGCTAATAAACTAAATATACCATTAACTGAAAATAACAGCTTGCCGTCTTGGTTTCCTCGTGTATCATCTAGACAGTTACGCAGCCCAGCTGGCGATAATCTGTTACCCAGTATAGAAGTGCCCGATGAGCAGTCTAATTATGTACCAGACGTTCAACAAAACCGTAATAATAACATTCCTAACAATGGGAATGGCAGAGATCCATTAAGTTCTGTTCGTTACCCATTGAGTACTGCTTCTACTGGTGATAGGGGTGTCGTCGGTGGCAGTGGTAGCGTTTCTCCAGAATTATGGGATGATGAAATATTCGATGATGCAATATTGAGTCATGCTGCTCAATCTATGGAGAAACAGTTAGATTGTAGTAGAAGTGGTAAGCCTATTTTTAAGTCTATAATTTTTCGTAATAATTACTTTTGTGGAGATTTTCAATTTTAGAGTTTATTATCACAGACTGACTTTAATTAGACAGACGTTAGAAACCAGTAAGCGCCAGACAGGTTTACGGTCTTAGTATGGGACTTTTCAGCAGTGGATATTCACAAACACATCAAGTATTGAATCTAGGAAATTTAGTTCTTGTGGGAATCACTTAACCTTCAGATTTGAAGGGGTTGTAGATAAGCAATTCTGAATAGAGTCCCATACTAAGGCGATTTTTTGAGCGGTAACAGTTATCTCCTAACAATAGTTCAGTTCATTAAATTCGTCCTACAACTGATAATCTTTACTGCGGAGCACAATGCACGCCGATATCTGATATATAAGAGAAGTACTAAGTTCAAACAAGTTCTTATTATTGCCATATGGGGCTTGTGGGAGGTTGCAGAATTTTCATAGTTTAAATCACGAACTGATTTAATCCAAACAATCATTAAAAACTATGAAGTACTTCACAACTTTCAACCTAGTACGGGACTCTTCATCGATACTCATCCACAACCCCACCACAAGAGATTGAACCCAGGACCTTTAGTCCCATGGACGGAATGATTGTCCAATACTTTCTGGTTTTAATTGGTGGTCTAGCTAAGAACAGTTCGTGACTTGAACTATGAAAATTCTTATTATTTAACTTATAGAACGTTTGCAACTATTAGTAAATATTTCCCCTCTAATAATTCTTTTAAGTGACCTGAGATTATTATTTAATTCATTTCTTGAATTGATTTAAAACTATGTAATATCACATGAATCAATGAACTTCAAGGTAATATAATTTTAAAGGTTTTGTCATTACTTTTTGCTTTCATTTCAACTTTACACTAAATACTACTTATAAGTAAGCATGTTTTAAAAAACCATCGCAACTGCTTTCTCTTCAACACTTAGCCTTGCTTAGAAAGTAATTTAAGGAGAAAACTTATGATCGATTATCATAGCTAAATAGATTCATCACGTCCAAATGACCGGCTCAGAAACTTTTTTGTAAACACCCTAGGGATTTTGTTATAGTGTTGAATTTTTAAATATTACATATTTATGATCATACTGTCATAATGAGAATAGGACTACTCTGGAGGCTCTTTACAAATTCATTTTAGTCAATCAAATATAAGGTTGAATCTAGCACAAATTTGAATTAGTCCGAGTTTTTGTATCTCGTGTGAGCACAATGAGATAGAGAGATAAGATGAAAAGCCAAGTTGTACAATATACTTTTTGAAAACTGAACATATAAAACCTAGTGTGAAATAAATGTATGAATTAGTAATTTAATGGGTTGAAGGATCTAGACAACGAATAAGGATAAATACATTTGGATGACTATGAAAAATTCCTGACCATAGGAATAATGCACTTTCAAATATAGCTCCCATCAATGGTCGATGACTTTATGGACTGACTCAACATCGTGGTTTAACTATACCCCAGTCGTCTCACAACTTGCTTTTGTATTTTGACTTAGAGATTAGTTTACTACAAATAACGAATATCAAATCAATATTTTTTATAATGATTATTTCTAGGTGTATCGATTTCACGAAGTTCTGTCCATTCGTTCAATGATCCACTTCGTTTACCAACAAGTGTTATATCTGATGAACGAGAGCGACTGTCAAATGAATCTAAATTTAGTGGTCTTCAACGTACTCACAGTGTTGTTGATGAGAGCGAGAACAATGTTTCTATTGATAGCGATGATCCGTTTTTAGAAGATCAAGTCGATCCAGATATATTGGCTTCTGCTCTGGCTGAAATAGACGAACAACCGTCAATGAATTCTACAAATTTTCCCAAAACTAATCAGTTAAAAGGGAATGAGATGCGAATTTTTCAATCCAATAAAAATGTATCCGAAACAACTGCAACTTCGTCAACATTATCATCAACTGTAATGAAAACAAGTACAGTAAGTCAACCGATAAAATCACAAATAGAATCAAAACAAAGTTTGAAACAAACGTTATTAAAGCTACAGTCACGCAGTCGATTAGTGAATAAACTGAGTGATAATCCATCACTCCCTTCCTCTTCTTCTTCTTCTAAACCTCAACCGACTGAACCATTCTCACCAGAACTAGTAAAACCAGATATCAAAAAAGTACAAACTAACATCGACAACAATGAAGATCTTCTGCCACCAGTGCCTAAACGTAAAACATTGGAATTCAAACAAACAAACAGTACTATTGCAAGTAATAGTAAATCTAAAAATATACTACAGTTTGCATCTTCATCCAGCCATCAAGTTGTTTCAACGACTACAGAAGATAATCATGATAAACACATGGTCAGTAGTAGACAACTGTCATCCAGTTCATTGGAAATTGATTATCACTTTCATCCATTTTGTTATATTCAAGTGAGTTTAGACTAAGTTCACCCTTACATATTTCTGTCTTTTTTTCAAAATTGCAAGGCTGATTTGACTTGTGGTGAAGATTAATCTCATTTTAAATTATTCGAAACCACTGAGCACTGGATGACTGATTTATCCTAATAAGGAATCCTTCAGTGTTAAAATTGATTGATTTTTGCAAGTCATTTGTCTACTACTGGGCTACGTACTCAACTCTGACTCATGTTGTTTGTGTTGGCTAGTTCGACTACCTGACTAGTGAAACCAAAGTAGGTGAAGTATAGGGTAAAACTAGCGACCCACAAGTTGGAAGCTGGTTAGCCTAACCATTTAACCACCTCCAGATACAATTACGTAACAAACTGTCTACAATTTATATTTTACATTTTCATAAAGTGTTCAGTGGCCAATTGAAGCTATCACGTACCTGGTAAAGTCATTACTCAATTGTCATCTGTTAACATTTTGTTTCAAATTCGTATTATCTCAAATCAGTTAGTTCAATCTTCAGAAAACAATCTTCATCTTAACATGTTATCAACTTTAATCAGTAAACACAATAAGGTAAATAAGCTTGTGTTGCAAACAATATCTAGTATTAACTTGTAAAGGTGAATTAACTCAAAAACATATTGAGCAGTCGGATAGTTTAGACTAATAATAAACTGAACAAAAAAATTATTGAAGTGATTTATTTTCCTTCTAGTGTTGTTTGAAGAAAAAACAAAAGGTTGGTGAAAATCAGTTAAAGTACTTGTCAAATGTCAAACCATATATATTCCTCGTTAACCATTTGACGGTGTCTTATACGAACAAATATTCACTTAGTTTAAACAAAATTATTTGATGATTCCCTTAGTTTTAAATGATGTAACTAACTAATATTTTTAATAAGAATAATGCTATATGATCATTCCTCTGGAGGAAACTTTCACTTCTTGTTAGCTGGGTCTCAAAGTATCCTTCGTCAAAATCTCTAGAGGCTCATAGTGGCCAGGAAACGTTTTACGTAATCAGCGTTGAATGGAATCTTCGCAGATACATCTATAAACTGCGAAATCGTGCAGCACGCTTCTAATTGTTTGTTTACTTATACTGCCACTGTATTTTGTGTGGCCCCAGAAATTTCCAGAAGCCCAAGGTCTTGTGTAGCTCTATAAGTATCCTCGTCTTTGTTTATATAATCTAACTTTGAAATTGATAAGTCTTCTAAACTGGTCTAAAACTATATCAGCTTATCTCTTTGTTCTTCTTTCACGGACCTCCTGAGTTTCTATTGATCGAGATATGATTGATCTTGTTTCCTGTAGTGTGGTTTAGTGAAATCTATGTAGTTTTATGTATGGATTTGCGGAGGGAAATGTTCCCATCTATAACCATATTGTTGAAAATACACAGATTTACCAATCTCCCTCCATTCTAGTTCCTTTCTCCCAGTCCATGTTGCCCCATAGTGCGTTCATGCTTAGCGCTGTCCATTTCGACTTTGGCGTATAGGTCCCCTATCTAGACGACTAGATTTTGCCTTAGCCACTCATAAAACTGGTCTTTGTCCTTACTGCTATCACTGATAGGTACGTAGCACTGTATAACATTCATTGTATTCCCTTTAGTTTTAATGCTTTGATAATCCTGAAGCCATGTGATTCCCGTCCTAATTTGGAACTGCTCAGTTATTCTCACTAATGAACTAGTATAGGATTGAGACGAAGATCTTCAGTCATCACAGGGCTTAATGGTTCGTATTTTTAACTTTGATCAACTCATAATGTTACTCCCAAGGTTTATCAATTATCTTCATGAATAACAGACTTGAAAGTCCCTGATCTTATAGCTGATTTGTAGGTACTTACAGCCTTTAGGGCCTCGTGTGAAGACGCAACATCTATATAGTGTTCGCTATATATAAATTTCCATTTGAATGAAGTCAGCCTATCAAGTTAATCATCATCACGTTGAAAAATCTGAACTAACTTAATTTTGGGTTCTGTGTTCTCATTTATCCATTTTCGCACATCGCTTTATACTACTTGCTAATATTCAGTAATCAGTTAAGTAATTTGTGATATCTAATATCCTAATGTACTTACATTAACTAAAGACATTTACTTTATTCATTATTTTCATTAAATCCTCTCAACCCTTGTAACTGTTATTTTTAGTTTTTTTTGTATTCCTCGAATTTTCGTTTAAACTTGATAATTTATTTGTTTATGTGGTCTTAGTCCTGGTTCTGATTGTTGATAGTCATTATCTACGTTAGTCACAACTACCGGCTGTCATTTACATCATCGAAGTATTTTTCTTTTCATACATATAAATGCGTTAACCGAAACCGATACCATACGAGTTGAGAATCGTTCCTTACATAAATCGTTGTTTTGAACCTTGATTTCAGGCGTATCTTAGTCGTGTAGTTGAATGCTTCGATAGAATCAACATTTATTCATAACAAAACACAGGTTGATGATACTACCTAGTTCTCCAAAAGCAACCCATGAAGTTGGTTAGCCACCAAAAGTCAAACTTCCACAGAAGTTCACTACAATTTCAGAAAACGATACTTGAAAATGTTATAAGATGACTTTATCAGAATATTGTGAGTCCTAATATTGACTTATCTGAAGAAAGAAGTATGATCGTGAACATAGTGTATCATCATGTAAGGGAAACATCATGAGGACGATGAATCCCAAGTTAATTCACTGAGAGCATGTAATAGCATTTTCAATCGATTTCGAAGTGGATGAAATTAGAAAATGTTAGTGACTCAACTCAGTGTATAACGATATTGTAGATGCACATATCTGATAAATCTCATTGCAACGAAACATTCGCTCAGTGTTTTCTCATTTTCATTTAATTTCCAGTTATTTTCAAAAGACGTATTAACATTACATATCCACTGATCGTTCTAAGGTTGAATTTTTTTTCAATTAACAGTTTTTTTAAATAAAAACTTTCATTTGTATTATCGTTAATACTGATTAGGTTTCATCATAATCTTTTGTAGGATATATATGATAAACTACTTAAAACAAAAGATAGTAGTAATGGTTCAGCCTCCATAAATACTGTTTACACAATTCGTGGTTTGCTTATTAGTTTGTTGTCATCATTAGAACATCATAATGGTACTAAATGGACACTAGCTGTGCGAATTACAGATGGTAGTGCAATTCTTGATCTAGATGTCGCTTCAGACTTACTAACTGAATGGATTGGTTTAACTCCTAGTGAAAGTGAATCATTAAGACGATTGAGTAAAATTGACTCGGATTCTTCGAATCCACTTGCAGTTCAAGAGGTGAGTGTTATTTTCTTTTTCCATCCAGTCTGGTGATTCGAAACGTTTTTTCCTTACTCGATGATGATATTTTAAAACGTTGCTGTGAGAGTATAATGAAATATTCATTCATCATTTTATCTCCATGATTGTTATATTATTCTGCTACACTTGTTTTTGATGCTTTACTGAAAAATGATTATTTTTTCAAATTGCAAACTGGTATTAGCTAGAGCACCATTGAGAGCAGGACGTTTTGGCTAGGGTTTCATTCTATTATGGGTCCCCTCATTATTGCACTTCTGTAACCCTATGGTGGCTGATACTATGCCAAGCCGACATAGGTTTTTCTAGCCTCTGGACAAACCAACCTATTCATTCTCCTCAAGCCACATTCTTGCCTTGTGACTTATTCGCTTATTAACCTTAACGGTTTTTATTTGAGTGTATGTGAGCCATTTACCTACCTTATTCATTATGTGTCTGTATTTTTGTTTGACTATAAATATCGAGTCACGATCGATAAAATGGAGTTGGCTCACTCTCCTTCTCCATTGTTCGTCATTTCGGTTTCCTTCTCTCTCTCTCCTCTTCTCTGCGTTTCCCTGATTGTTTATCCAAACCAATGAGCGTATTCAAACTTTATTCTCGTATTTGACTTATTTTAATTCTGTTATTCACTAACGCGAGTTAAGTCGATAATTGTATGCGACGGTAGACAGAATGTATATTTCGATGACAATCATAACACGATTTAATTAGAGTCAGATGAAGAGCCACACTAAATCCTCACCACTGGGAATCGACCTCAGGACCTTCTGTTTCATGCACACGGACATTTAATCTCTAAACCACTAGCTTGTAATCTAAAACTATGGAAATTCTACAATCTCCAAAAAACCCCTTTTACTGAAAGTTTGCTTATAAGTTTATTATCTTCCCATTCTCTAACGATTATCTCCCAGCGTTTCATAACAAAACAAAACAAACGACTCCATGTTATTATTGTTTGAGTTATGACGAAATAGATATTTTCATACTGTGTTGTAGACAGTAATTCAGTGTTATTTTTGTTAATTACATAAAGTTATGCGCTACACCAACCAAATAAATAGGATTATAAAGAAATACAAGAGGGGATAAAAATATTTAGTAAGGAATGCACTTAATTTAAAAGATACACAGCTAAGAAAGACGTTCTCCCTTGCTTATACTGTAAGTAAAGGGAAACTATATCAGGATCACCACTGGTTTCTCTTCTGAGCCTTATTTGATAACATCTCAATTCACTCTGTCACACCATCTCTCGTACTCCAATCACATAGTCATAATGGAACACAATTTTCTTCTGTACCCCGACGCCATGTTATAAAATGACCATTTTTTTCTACCCAGTCCCGAAATCGGAAATTGTTCCCGATGTAGAAGCTATTCGGATGAAATTCGTACAAAACATATCCGGGGCTCCGAAGCCGATGTTCAAAGATGGTCACAACAATTGAATTGTCAGAATACTCATTGCCAAAGCTGAGTATTACTAACATGATGTTGCCATTGAATGGCAGATATCATTGGAAGACAACGATGACGGAACACAATGAGTCGCTAATCATCCTTAACCCGGAGCTCGACCGAAGCTGCTACCTTGACGCGGTGGTCGGGCTTGCCTATCGTGATGACCCAACCGAGCTATATTGGCTGGAACATATGTTCCTGTAGGTTCTACCATGCCAGGTAGGTCGATTGGTGAACGGTAAGACTAAAAGCAGCAACTCAAGGTCTGAGAGCGAAGTCGTACTGCTGACTGTAGAGGGGTGTGACAGCAGTAAGGTGTTTCCTTCGGACAACCAGCATGACAGCGATGCTGCCTTCCCACAAGGAGGGGTGGGGTTAGAAAAGGTCGACCCTAAAAATGTCACACCTCACCTTACCTCACGGATTTCCGTCTCCGGCGGTAAGGCCCTTTGAAGAACGGAGCTAACACGTCAAAAACCTTCCACGAAAAGGCCGTGCGCGAATGGCCTCAAACAGTTGTCCCTTGGGCACTGCGGTCACACTCCCAGGTCGTTAAGACCAAACTAATCCAATTTCCTTTTCAGGTTCCTCAAGAAATAACCCTTCTCACATCTCTTTATCATCTCGCACCGCTAGGGCAAACGATTGGAGTACGCGGAACGCTATTCCTGGTCTCCTGAAACCACGCTCTAAACTACACGTAGGAGCTTTTAACGTACGAACACTTTGCCAAATAGGACAGCAGGCTTCCTTAGCTAAAACTTTAGAATCTCGCGCCATCGATGTGTGCTGCGTCTCCGAAACGCGCATACAGGATCCGAGTAGCGTCATTCATTTGACCTCACCATGCCAAAATAAAGAACCGACTCGATTTACGCTTCGTGTATCTGGAAGCCCTGATTCTGCTTCCCGTGGCCTCGCCGGCGTAGGTATAGCATTGAGTCCTAGGGCAGAACTAGCTCTCTTAGAGTGGATCCCAGTAGACAGTCGTTTGTGCGCTGTCCGACTGAACGGAACAGTAAGAATCCGGAAAGATAGGGACACTCGTCGTTGCCTCTTCGTCGTCTCTGCCTATTCTCCCACTGACTGCAGCTCAGATGATGTAAAAGATGAGTTTTACAGAAAGCTTTCGGACCTTCTCCGAAAAGCTAGCGCTCGGATGTAGTAATAGTGGCCGGTGACTTTAATGCTCAAGTAGGTAAACTAAGCGATAGGGAAAGACACCTAGGTGGATCTTATGGTGTCGTGGCTCAAAGAACAGATAATGGCGACCGTCTGTTGCAGCTATGCTCAGATAACCGCCTGTTCCTTGCAAATACTAACTTTAAGCATAAGGAAAAACATCTTTTAACATGGCGACCCCCTAATTCGTCCCAACGTTCAAATACACAACCCCATCAGCCACCGATGGAGGGGCTCGATAGAAGACTGTCGCTCATTCTGGAGCACATGCCTAGATTCAGATCATGCTCTAGTGCGAGCGCGTATTTGCTTGCGTCTTACTGGACGTAGGAAAGACGCTGCAAGGAAACCTCTTAGGGCCTACTTAATGATAGTCAAGCTAAGAGTATATTTCAGGAACAACTAGGAAAACAGTTAGGCAGCCATGTATGTGATGCCCACCCCGATGCAGCATGGAATGATATCCGAAAAGCTGTGGAAACAGCAGTGATATCTGCTAGTAAGGTAAACCAGAAGGTTAGGGAGCAACACTGGATCTCAGCAGCATCTATCGCACTGATAGATGCTCGGAAACTCATTCCACCTGGCTCTGAACATAATGAAGAGCGGAGTCAGCTTAAGCGCAAGCTGACAAGAAGTCTACGCAATGATCGCGAACAGTGGTGGGTAGCGAAAGCAAGAGAGATGGAAAAGGCAGCGGCAATAGGTAATAGCAGACAATTGTTCAGACTCGTTAAGGAAACCGGAATTAGGAACCCGACCGTTAGCGAAACAATCTCAGAGAAAGATGGACATATTATTCATTCTCAATCCAGGAGATTGGATCGATGGGCAGAACACTTTAGGGATCAGTTCAACTGGCCTTCAGCCACACTTCGGTTTCCCACGATCTCTAGTCAACCTGAATGGCAAGTTAATGTAGGTCCTCCGTCCCTTTACGAAGTTGAAAAAGCCATAGGAAATCTGAAACGAGGGAGAGCAGCAGGCCCTGACAGGTTTACTCCTGAGATTTTTAAGGATGGTGGTCCAGTATTAGCAATGAGATTAACCGAGGTCTTAGGTAGAATTTGGGAACTGGACGTAATCCCATCTGACTGGTCTCAATCACTGATTGTGCCAGTCTATAAGAAAGGACAAAAGTCCTCTTGTGACAATCACAGAGGAATCAGTTTGACTAATATAGTGTCTAAAATATTAGCTTCAATAATACTTCGACGCCTAATCAAAGCTCGTGAAGAGCAGATTAGAGAAAACCAGGCTGGTTTTCGACCTGGACGTGGTTGTATAGATCAGATATTCACACTACGTCAGGTTCTAGAACACAGACACACATTCAGACGCCCCACAATGGTAGTATTTCTCGACCTTAAGGCGGCATTCGACTCTGTTGATCGTGAGGTTCTATGGCAGTGTTTGTCACTGAAAGGAGTACCAAAGAAGTACATTAACCTTATAAAGGCTCTCTACTCGAACACAACTGGTAGAGTGAGAGCTTATGGCGAACTGTCATCAGAATTGATTACCTCAAGTGGTGTTCGTCAGGGCTGTCCACTCTCCCCATTCTTGTTCAACTTTGTGGTCGACGTACTTTTAGAGATAACACTCTCCTCATCTAAATTTCCAGGGGTTGAACTTCTACCAGGAGGTTCACTTGTTGACTTAGAATATGCTGATGACATAGTTTTATTTGGTGAAGACGCTGACAAAATGCAGAGTCTTCTGACCACTCTAAGCAACAATGCAAGCATGTTCGGGATGCGATTCTCCCCCTCGAAATGCAAAATGTTGCTTCAGGATTGGGTTACATCGACACCCGAACTAGTGATAGGGAGTGAAGTAGTTGAGTGTGTCGACCGCTTCACTTATCTTGGAAGTCTCATCAGCCCTTGTGGTTTAGTGTGTGACGAAATCTCAGCACGGATACAGAAGGCTCGACTAGCTTTTGCCAACTTGCGTCATTTATGGCGTAGGCGAGATATCCGTCTATCAACCAAAGGACGTGTTTACTGCGCAGCAGTTCGTTCCGTCCTACTTTATGGCAGTGAAACATGGCCGGTAAGAGTAGAGGATATTCGTAGGTTACTAGTATTTGATCATAGGTGTCTTCGAAACATTGCTCGTATATCATGGGACCATCGAGTAAGTAACACAGTTGTTAGGAAACGGGTACTAGGTAAGGATGGCAAATCAATTGATGAAGTAGTGAAACTTCATCAGTTGAGATGGCTGGGACACGTGTTACGTATGCCCAACGACCGACTGCCTCGACGTGCTATGTTCAGTGGTATAGGAGTAGGTTGGAAGAAAGCTAGGGGCGGCCAAAC